GAAAATTCAGTAAGGTTTTTTTGGATGAATATCATATTAACTATTCAAGTCTAAAGGTCTTTTATTATTTTCTCGGTCTTTATTTCTTCACTCATTCAATCATTTTCTCGTTCGTCATTCACTGATTCATTCAATCTCTTATCTATTCATTCATTTATTCGTTGAAATGGGAACGTGTATACGTATACGATTTAATTCGCGACCGTGGAGAAAATCTGAAATCGGTGATGAAGCAAAGTATCAAAACTGACTTCATGCCCAAAACAGGTTCGACATCTAACATAGATATGACTCAAAACATTCCTCGTGCAGATGTTTCGCTCTACCTTCTCAAAACATCTAGGTAATCTTATTTGACGTGACGTTCCTTCCTTGGACAGCTAAACGACCCTTCAACCGAATTTAATTAGAACAGCTTTTTTCCTGTTTTGTAGGATGTTTAGTACTTCAATCATTCTGGATAACCTTCGCCGTGGCCACCCTTTTAATTAATTTGGATAATCCGTGCCAAGTGCCTTGAAAGCCAGATCGCATTTGATGCAAGACGGGTGCAAAAAAAAATTTCGGTAGGACGCTAAGGAACTTAGATGAGTGGCATTTCAAACATCGTAAGAGTTCATTCCACTGGATGAGAAATTTTCTACACCAGATCTGTTCTAATGAATTTGAGGTTATCATTCCTAAATTTGAGGTGTAACAGCTTCTTTGAAGAGTTAAGTACTCCAATCGTCAGAGCGATGTTTTCATCAAGTTAAATTGCCACTGATAAGGCTAAAAAAAGACCACAACAGATATTAGCGCGTCAGTTTTCAATCTGACAATTTAGGGAACAATTTTGACTGGACGCTTAAAATACGATACCTATTTGAAATTTAACAGACTTGATCAGAACACATCACAAGATTTTATTTTAGGAAACGAGCAAATATTAAAAAAAATGACACTAAACTGCAGAAAACGGCTAAAAGAAAGGAAAACTCGGGACAAAAAAACCCAAATATTTCGATTAAAGATGTTCGGTTTCACATTTCGCAATTATTCATTCCTTTCTCCTGGTAACACATTTGTTACATTTCGATGGATCTTTTGCTCAATCGGACACTGGGCGATACGTTCGTCTTGTGAGCAGAACTTCCCATAGTTTGGATAACATTTCAAAACCACGATCTCTGTTGATGACTTTCAATCAACTCGTAAGCCAGGGAATAATGGAAAATAATACATGCTCGCTGCATGCGTTTCATTTCAATCTCGTCTCTGCTTTGGCTATCCGGCTTGATCACGCAAAGATACAGGCCAAGGCTCTATAGGGTGGAACTGACTTTTTATGGCAATTTTGTACCATTTAATTTTAAAAGCTTAATTTCATAGCTCAAGTGACAGCGCAAAGATACAGAAACCAGAAGTGTGAACAACGGAAGAGCTTAGCTCACTTATCAGTTGTTTATAACCCTGAGAATTTTCCTCTGATTTTCGAGTCTTAAGCGATCAACAAATACTGATATCTTTAATTTTCTACCAACGGAGTTCCGGGCAGTGTCCATGTAGAATCCTGTCACTAGCTTTTCTATTATCATTTAGTGTGACAATGTAAATCATAGGTTTTTCTCAAAGAACGCCCACATTGGAATGCCAAGGGCATGGAATTTTACGCCCGGATTTCAGTGGTCTTCCTTGTCTCAGTCGTTTCCGTCAGTATCAAAAGCTGCTGCATGGTTGTTTATTTAAATGAATGAAGACAAAAAACGGTAAATTTTAGAGGAATCTGTACCTCCTTTAGGAGTTACTGTGAATCTTTCCTGTTCGCGACCTGGCGTTGCCAAAGCATTCGAAACTTTAGAACGGCAACGCGGAAAACGCACAACAGCAAGACATGAGAAATTCATTCACCGTTGAATCATTTCTTCTAGACGTATTGTCTGACTGAGGGACTTCATCACAAATACTGCACGATATTTGTAACGTAAAAGGAGCCTTGTGTCGATGCATTTTTAGGTTCACTTCATAGAGATAGAAGAGACTTAAATAGTGGTTATTATCCTACCTGCCTGCTTTGGTAATTATCATTTCGGTTCCCAACTCAAAGAAACGCTGCCATAAATCACGCATCTGGAGTTCAATAACGATATCTTCGCATTCCAGTGTTTCTGTAGAACCCACTCGGCTCTGCATGGCCTGCATTGATCCTAACGCTTCAGTCGCTGGATCTGAGAAAGGGAAGGTAAGAAATAAAGTGACGAAGGAGCAAATGGAAATGTGTGTGAGTTCGACCACCCGATTGCGGTGGAGAAACTCACCGTGCTCTCCGCTCTCGGGTGATCTGCGTCCTGTGGAAGCAGCCATTCTTGTAATCGATGTCTGTTGGTTTGTGTGTTCTGAGGATATCAACGATTCGACAGAGAAGGCGTTCGCTCGTGAGGAGAGATTTCCATTAGCGTGTGATACTGTTTGGTGCATGACAGTTTAAAAATGTGATTTGTCTTGTAAAGCTGCACAGATAGTTGAGTCTGGAGTGAAAACGACTTTACAAGATGTGTAATTTATGATGGAGGCTATCTGTCGATTATATCAATTAACAGTGATAATTAGATTTATTATATACCACAGTCATCACTCTCCTCGGAAATACCAGAGTATGCTCCTGTGACGAGCCACATAGCCGCCATCAAACGCGCCGACTTATCCACCACGGGAGCGTGGGAATATGAGCTTGTTATCGCACGGCTTTTATCCAATCATCGAGCAAGTCCTTCAGCGTGAAGTTTCCGGTGTTTAGTGTAATTAGCTAAAAAATATCGACTAACCAGAACCTTCCACGAAAATTGACGAAATACTGTCCCGCGATGTCAGACAGCCGGCTAAGCGATAATTTGAAAACAACACTTGTGAACAAGCTGTTATCCCGCTAAAATAACCGCTGGAAACCCCAAATTTGTTATTCACCTACAGAGTCTTTTCCTGTAAGTATTGGATTTTATTATTCTAGACGCTTATTGCAGCAAACAGAAATGAAATCATTTCTTTGCTATTCTAGTCATTTTTTCCTGATTACCCGCTAGGCTGCGCTATTTAGCGGGTACAGTTTTTCTAAACGTTTTTCCATGTGATCTTTGGCGCGAAGGTACAGTCCCTTTACAGAAGATCCTTGATCAAACATCTCACTTGCTTAGACCTTTGTTCACGTTCAGAGCCACCTGTGATTATTTTTTAACAGGAAAATGAATCCAAAACATACCGATGTGGTTCAAATTTTGTGCTCAATTAGTCCTGGTCTGTCGTGATTGCCTCCGGCGGTACTGTTGTTGTCGGCGAAAGTAACGATTGAGGTTATTAATTTTGGGGTTATACGCTGTCCTTTCGAGTGATAATAGACAATGTAATGGTCTGGCGCGTGTAAAATAAAGTGCCAAATTGTTGACGGGGTCGATTTACCCTTGCAAAAACCTCTTTTCAACACGCTCCATTTAGTCCGCTTTCAAAATATTATTGCAGAGCACAAGTGGCTTAGATAACATTGCGTGCTCCATGAGTAAACTTGTGCGGTTGGTCAGTACTGGTAAATACGATGAAACAAGCAGATGTTTCTTGTCATTTGTTTGAACAATGCAGAGAAAACAAAAACCCTTTTCTCACAGGTAAATGGGACCTTGATAAACGGAAAATTACAGATTCTCAAAATTTTTAGTATCTCAGTATGTTGCAAGAGCACAATACCCTTCTTTGTGAATTGGTTGTAACCTACCGTTTTTCGATTCGTTCTTCGGCAAACTCCTTCGCTTCGTAGACAGTCGATTAAATGTTTCCTGAAATAAATCTTATACAAAGTAAACATTTAGAAATAATCTGAATTTCCTAAGGGGTTGGATTAGGGTTAAAAGATTGCTTGAAAATGATACAGTGTGAGACTAATGCCCATCATGGCTTAAGTAGAATGTAACTTGTGATCGGCATAACGTCACAAGATTAGTTCTCGTAGGATAATATAGAGTTATAGAACTGATGCCGACCCCAAACTTGATGACAAAATCGTTCCCTTGATCTTAACTGTAACATAATTATGAAAGTGGCAAATTTACCTTCTGGGAGAAATCGTGTAAAGTAAAGTTTACTTTAGCCATAAGAATTATTACTTATTTTTAATTTACACCTTTTTATATCATTAACAACGCAGAAAATGTTGTTGACAATGGTCAGAAGTTATTGAATGAGTCTTTTATGCTCAAATGTTCCTTTTCTGAGAGTAATCATTTCCTTCGAGACATGGATTAGTCTGCGGCGAACAACACACTCGATTAATGGCTAAAGAACATTTTCCTTCGTTACTGTGAAAGCTCTTTTTCTACGTCAGATATCCTTGATTTCAGAGTTACAATTCTTTGCATTACTCGGTGCCATGAAGGCTGGGTCTGCTTAGAAAGCTTTAGTCGAACAACTCGTTTAGCGAGCACTCCTTTGAGTACAGACCCGGTAAACATTACGGTTCTGTGAACTGAGATCGCAATCAAAATTTTTCGGCACAACAGTATTAAGATTTCGATGAATCCTCGATGAGCCTCGTTAAATCGCACCTGCATTTGAATCTTTTGATTTGATCCCAAATTTTCCCTTAACTTATATCATTACAATGCTGTGTTAAGAATTTATATTTCAATCATCTTAGGCTAAACTCACTGACAATCTGTTCAGTAATTTATATTTATAAAAGCAACTGTAACTGTAATCTTAGCTTCCGGCTCATAAGGGCCTTAAGCTGACTTTAATCTGCACTACGGTAATACCTTCCCCGAGCTTGCTTCATGCTGTCTTGTCCATTTTGTTTTCACCAAGCTTGTAAAACGGTCAACTGACGGATTATTTCAGCACAAAGATAGCATTTTTTGTTCTAATTAGTCTATAAATACTTCTAATAGATTTTCCCGACGTCGTTAGACCTTTCGGCATTTTATGGTCTATTATTGATTACTTTCTTATTGACTGCGCAGAGGGGGCCAGAAGAAGATTTAAGAATCTCACAAGCTCACACTAATGGGTTAATCAACTTTTTTTAAAAATAAATCCGATCTTATTTGGAACGGAGTACATGCAAAAGCCAGGACGCGATATGAAGGAGCTGCCACCTAGAGCACAAATACTTTAGTTTTAACTCTGTTTTGGAAGGAGCCCCTGAAGTTGGTTATGATTGTTGCGTGTGTGTGAGTAGATCAATAGATGAAATTCCCCAAGAATGACCGTGTCAGTAGCTCATGGGATTTATCGTGATTCTTAGGTAAGGATTAAAAACAGCTTTACGTCGCAAGAAAGACAAATATTAATTACTCCATGGGACGTTGATGGGCTGGCATTTTCAAAGTTTTGTCCATCTTTCGTTTTCTTTTCGAATTCCGCTAACGCTAGCCCCTTCGTAGCCTAACATTTTATCAGTTTCATTGCCTCATTAAGAGGGATCGATTGAATATTCCTCGAGAGATTCTTCCGTGATAGTTTTCCGACGCCATTTTGTGACATAAAAGTTGTTTTATTAGGGAAAATACCTGAGTTTTTCTTTTCCATTACAACGAGATGGGTTTCTTCCTCCTTTTTTAAACTCAGCGCGAATTGTATAACCTCGCTACTCTTTTGCCATCATTCATTTGGATTTGGAAAGACATTCTTTTACGCATTATTATCTTGTTCCCTTGAAACCACACCCCAATTAGCATCACACGACCATAAATGGTCAAAATTTACATCCATTTATAGACCCGTTAAAACCGCTCCCAGACCATACACTTTGTAGTGAGATCTACCATTTTTTTTTCGTGCAGATACCTATACAGCTTAAAAAGGTGGAATATTCCCGCTCAGCAACCGCCATGCCCACTGTCTCGAGCTCTCTGTTGCTCTTTACCTACTCTTCCCGTCCGTGCTCCCCACGTGATGTTTTGTGCAGTTTTATGACGTCAATCAGGAGGTCGTGCACAAGTCATCATGAGACCTTGTTTTCAACATTCTTCAGAGCTCTAATTCTGTCGTGACGAGTGACTGAGGAGGTCGGTGTTTATTGTATTGAAGTGGGATTATTGTATTAATAAATTAAATTATGACTCAATGATTAATTGATTAATAATTGATTTAGTCGTTTGTTCAGTTCGTCTGATAACTTTTCTTCTTTTATTTTCCTGTTTTCATCAATTTTTTGTTAATTTTCGCTCGGTTAGCCTCAGAGATTTATAATCCATTGGGGTCAAATTCTCGTGGGCTAAGAACAACAAGATAAAAATCCGGCCCAGTTTTTTTTTTATTTATTTTTTTTATTTTCACACCACTTGTCCACTAAGCCACTTTTCTTAAATCGTATTAAGAGGCTTTCTTGATTACGAAGGCTTTTTTGGGCTGTTCATGCAACCGTCTCAAAACTCCCATTGCATGGCGGCTATCGTATGGTATATATAGCCTGTCTCAAAAGCTCGTCATTAACTTCCTTATTTTTCCAAAATTTCACTAACTAATTTGAAAAGAGGAGTTTAGAGCCGAGAGGTAGGAGAGGCGAGTATATCACAACCAAAATAACGCGGGTAATAAAATGTTTGTCGCAAAGAACTTTGAATCATAAAAATCTTTGAGGGGGTAATTATACAAAGTATGGTTTTGAGTAATACTGTTAATACTTTCCTCCACTATATCTAGTTATTAAATTTTCGCTAATCCAGGATATTGGCTTACGCCTTGCGCCCTGAATCTCGTGATTTCAGTTCCAAGAACCGTTATCAATAATAAAAACAAAAGCAGCTTAAAGGCCCCTTTCTCCTGCAGTGTAGTGACGGTTCAGAATGGTAAATTTAAAGGCTTGTTACACAAATCTCTGTTCGTATAGTTCGTTAAGCTAAATTTCACACATTTAGAGGCAATCTAAAATGTCGTTAACTTTTATGTCAGTTAGCCTGTGCGTTCAGGTAACTCATAGACATTTAAATAATTTGATTTCGTAATTTTCAAAACAAAATAAGAGAGGAAAAGAAAATGAAACCAACAATAAAATAAAAGAAGACAAACAAACTATTAGTCTGCTCAAGGCGTTTGCGCGCCTTCTTCTCCTCCCTCGCTTTTTTTCTCCTCCACTACTATCTCAGCCGTGTATTATTTCGCTCCGTTTTACCAAACAGGCTGAGAAATTAATGAGTTGCGAAATTTCAATGTTACAAGATAGTTCTATCTCATTCCTATTCTCTGCTTTATCTATTCCTTCATCTAGCGAAACAAAAGCATGCGTAAACCGATGTAGGGGCGAACGCAAATTAGAGCAAAGCATGTGCATCTCCGACGCTTACTCTTCCACTGACACATAAACATGATAGCCTTCATTTTACCTCCGGTCTCCCTTTGGCAGTTTCGATTCTCGTGGAAATTCGTCGTCGAACGAAACATATAACGAGATTCCATTTGAAATAGCTATAACTACTTCTTTGCATCAATTTTAGAAAAAGATATTCCTTCAATCTTTCGTTCAGTCTAAAATTACCCTGATAAAGTAAACTTTTAACTAATACACAACATGTATTATACATAACATGGCCTGAACCTGAAAAGTGGACTCTCCCTTCCATTTGCAAGGCACAGAGAAATATCCGAGAATCTATTAACTGATTAGACCATGAATAAATCCTGCACATCATTCAGCCGATAAGTTCGAACGGTAGAGTGCGTAACGAGGGTTATTTGGTGAAACGAAGCTAAAAACTTCTCTTGGAATTCCGGCGCTAAACCCGAATTTTTAGTTTCTTTCTGGTATGTCTCTCAAAATAATTTAAAGTTGTCCTTCACCAGTCGAGCGCGACGACCGACCTAACATTTTCCGTATAAAAGCTTTGATAGCCAGAGGTCCTTTCAGCAGTTTCCATATCCGTGAATCTATGTACTGCTCGATTAACATCGACTGTACGTACCAAAGTACTCAGCCGGCAAAGCCAGCATGCGATGCTTTATAATTTGTTGAAGACAATAGGCAATTAAAGTCGCTCAATTATAGAAACTTAAATTATGAACTTGCTGTACATCTCAACAACGTCACCCAACCTCCTCTATCACGCAATAACGTGTCATCTGAAAAACATGTGTGCAAAACTTAGTTCAAATCTTTCTCAAACTCAGCCGACAGAGATGGCTGGCTCAGTTTGCTGTTCGCTCGTGACCGGCTCTCTTGCAAGTTCATTGTAACTGAATCTTTCTGTTATCCATAACAATGCAATGAAAAGATCAAAGTTCGAAAAGAACCACGAATAGATGGGATCAAAGTCCTAGCTAGGATGTGAATACTGGACAGAAAGAGTAGACTACAATAGCTTGAGCAGTAAAGAACTTTGTTTATGGAAGAATTAGCCATCATCCATGGTGGGTGTTGCCGTATTCGATATCTTAATTCAAGCAATAGTTTTATTGTTCATATCTAAAGACTAAAAAAGATGCCGCTAACTCGTTTGTTCAGATGTTTTTCTATTTCATGAAACACTAGAACTCCATTTCACCTGACCAAAAGCAACTGCACAAGTCATTAAGAATGAAACAAATGCTCTTAAAACACTTGTGTTCAATAGATCTTCACGAAAAGTCATATTTGATTATTTGAACAAGTGAAAAGCAAAATGTACTCGATGTGGCAAATCAATTGTTTCTCGGCTTCGATTGAGACGCAGAAGTACAAAACGTCGTTTATGGAAGTGCTAAAATTTCTGATGACTTTTTGATGATAAAGGAAAGGGTGATCACGTTGGTTTCTATTATTGCACCCTTAAACAAACAAAGTTTTATTTGTTAAGACCCTTGAGACAAGCGTAATATCCATTGAGGACAATTTCATCGATTTAAAGATTAACAAAGTTATGGATATAAGCTTCAGAAGCCGCTTTGTCACGATTTTAATTACTTTGTTTATCGTGTCCCGTTCAGAATCCTGAGGGAGAGTTAAGATCATGAGTTATAACCGAAAGACATTTCGTTTTCTGAAGCTTGAAAAATCGTCAAATTTTGCCAGACGAAAGAACGACGTCGAAGACAAAATGTTGGGCACAAAATTAAAAGTTATGGAGAAAGAAGAGCGAATCATTCGCCAGAAACTGTACGAGATACGACGAGAGAAATATTCACGATCGTTTTACAAAAGCGAAGACAAGTCAAAGTTTGTAGATGTTAATGTTTGCGAGACCAACGAGGGAGAGAAAAACAAGATAACAGCATCTGGCGTGGAACGAACCATAACCGCTTTGAGACGAAAATCTATCGCAGTGGAAGAGTTCAACCCAGGACAAGTAGTTCGTGTTTGCGTCTCGTCAAAACTCGAAGACAAAGTTGCTAGAGATGAGAGCACTTCACTTAGTGCTTTACCAGCGATTCAGAAGGCGAGGAAGAGAAGACATTCTGTGGCAATTGTCACAAATATTGCCGAACACAAGGCAGCAGATCTTTTTACGTTAGGAGAAAATTATGTGCAGTCAGTTTCAGGGGCTGATGAAGGCATTTCTTTGGACTTTGCCCTGAGAAAGTGTCAGGAGAAAGATTCAGAGACGACCACTGACCAGTTACTCCAAAGGAAAGTGGACGCAAGTGGCCAAGAAAACGCCAAACTAACAACTTACTCAGAGAAATCTGCTACCTTAGACTTGCAAACTAAATCTACGGGTTTGTCCAGAAGACGATATAGTTGCACTGACAATGACTTCCACCATAATGAAATAGGAAGGTGTTTTACTGACTCCCCTTTAAACGTTTCAAAACCAGAGCCTGGAGAATCTAGCGGTTTGGAATCCATCTTATCTGTGCCTGAATCGTCTGAAACGAAAACCACCACCACACACGGTGTCACGAGTCCTGTTCTTCTTCTTCCTCAGCGACCACACAGTAGTAGAAGTTGTAGCGATAGCAGTATTCATGGACTTCAAATTGATTTAAGAAAGTGCAGAACGCCAGTGCTTGGCTCCTCGAGGAAGTATTTACAAGCGGACAGTCCTAGTGCTCTTCGACTTGATGCTGAGTCCAAGCCGAAGCGGAATGCATTCGAAAACGAAAGCACATCGAAAAGTGTCACGAGTTTCATAAGGAAAAATCGGAGTGCTTCTTTAACCACAGGCTTAACTTCGGGCAACGAAGATTCTACTCTCTCAGAGAAAGAAGAGAAAGTAGCCGAGCAAGTTATGAAAAGACAGCTTGAAATAAAAACTGCAGCTGACAAAATGAGGAGGCTCTCTTTGCAACACTTCGGTGATGCAAAGGACTCATTGAAAGTCCCGCGTCGACAGAGTTCTGGTGTCATTTCGCCATACCTGCAACGAGCTGGATCGGAGAGTTCACATAACGATGCGAATAACAATAGTGAAGGAAACCAAAGAGCAGGAATAGTGAGAAGGCACAAAGATAATCCACAATTGCTCGGGAAAACTGCGAAGGAGACTTCTAAAATCGACAAAGAAAAAGCCTTGAAAGAACAGGTTTTAAGCAAATTAGCGTGGGACATATCTGACTGTAGATACTTGCGATGCGGCGGACGGGACGACGCTGTATGACATTACTCTAAGTCATAGACTTGACTCCTAGATGTACATCAGCTTTCAGTATGTGATAGATAAGTCAAATTAAGGCATATTAGCTAAAAGTAAAGCTATTGACATCTACCTATCTAGGCCAAAAATGCAATTTTCAACTGTAGGCTTTGTAATCTCAAGTGCTACATCGGCATCATCAAATATATCAGGAGTAACTGTCGCAAATTTACATCAAAACTCAGCTTAATGAAGGACCTAGGGTTTATAAAAAACAGTTTGGGAGACACCATTTAATGTATTCCTCGTACTCATCTTACAAATAGCATCTTATAACTCTAATGTGCCGTGAACAGAGACGGGAAACGATCATGGAGCTAAGGACATAACAAGTCAAGAAGTTCAATGAGCCAAGACTCCGCATTTTTACTCGAGTCTTGCCGCAAGCGGCGAGAGTCTTAAGCTGCAGGCTGTTTTTTTTTTCGTGTTTCGTCGCGAAAAGTGGGGTCATGGTCCCAGGCGTTCCTTGCGTAGACCGTGGAAACTGGGGACGAGATCATACCGTCGTCCTCGTTTCTCGAAGTAGAATCCTGTTTCCACGATGTCGAAAGGGAAGGCAAATTCTATTTTGCGAAACGAAAAGAAACCAAGCGAAATATGGCGAAACTAAAGGAATAATGCGGCATATTGTCTACTAAAGTAAAGATAACTTTCATAAGGATTTTGGAGTAAATCTTAATCGTTAAGGAGGATTTTAATTCGTTTCGCAAAGTAGTCATTTAAGAAGAGTTTTTATTCTGCGAAATCGACTATTTTCACCCTGCGGTGACAATGTGACCTTGTTCATGCCACAAAAATAAATTTAAATATATCACATATATTACCAAAGCTATTGAGTGACACGAGAATGGCTTCATCGTTACCGCTGGGTGAGAAGCCGGAGTAATTGCTTTCAAATTACTATTTTGCGAAATTGATTTGGATAGTGAAATAGGAGGTGAAACGTATTTTTGTGATCAGAACAAAAAAACATTATAACACAATATGAAAGAAATATTGATTAATTTTGGTGACTTAAAACTAGTATTGCATACTGGAAATGAATTTTTGAGTAGTTTGTTACAACTAGCAAGACAATCTTCTTTACAGTGTACTCCTAACTGAATTATCAGCAATGCTCACAATATCAAAACATAATGACCAGCTGGGATACAGTACAAGGTATAGTGGTAATTGTTCATGGTAAGCTCGAGGCTGCCATCGAGAGATATGAATACTGTGTTGGCTTAAAAAAAGCTTTTGATTCATTGACATACTCAAGCGTACAGCACGTATAGAGGTTCCAAGCAATTAGCTCCTAACAAGAAGCTCTCCTCAAAGTAAAGATACACATAATTTTTGCATTTATGTGAACTTATGATTATAAAACATATCAGGCTTTTTCTCAAATTGAGTACATTATTATTTTTAGTTTTTTTAATTAGGTCCCATAATCCCTATCATTTGTCATTTCATCTACCAGTGCAAAGGCAGTCAGTAACTGGCACTCCCTTTACCTCCTCAAATGGCCCAAATACCTACGCGCACGCTCTCAAGCAAAGAACTAGCCTCCTCATTCCTTGTATACTCCTCAAGCGGGCTCGAGTTAATGCTTTCGACAGCGTCTTCTTATGGTAAAAACTGTTTTTGATTTAAATTTCTCGTTTCGTAGCAAAACTCAGCTCTTATCTTTTTCTTTTAGTCGTTTGTTTACAATTTCCTTTCTTATCATATTGAATATGATCATGATCGTCAAACTATGGACACTATAGGTTGCAGTTTAATTCAATGTTACAATGACCTCCGCGCGCAAAAGACTGTATGCCAGTGGGTTCTTTCAGCACAGTTCATATCTTATCGTTTGTTAAATACTCCCCTACGTACTTGAGAGTTTTTTTAGGGAACGCACCTATTTTTTGTTCGTTTTATTGATTTTCCTCTATCTCTCTCCTCGGACGGTAGGGATTATTTTACTGCGTCCTTTCTCTGTTTCCCACAACTCTCATACGCAAGTTACAAGTTGTTTCTCAACTTCTTCATCCTCCTCTGTTTGTTTTCTTTTGTGAATATCTCGCCATTTCACGTGATCAGTGCGTGTGGTTGTTCCAACCAATCTCCTGGTGGCTATTGTACTGTCCAGCCGATACTCGTCATTCTCTTTTTGCCTCAAACATCTGAAAAACGCTTTGAATCCTTTGTTGAATTCTTGGTTCAGCGTTCCGTAAATGATTGGATGAGCGGCACTGGTTGCTATTACTAACAGAACGCAAAGTTTCTTTGCAACGGAGTTCGGATAACCAAACACACTTAACAGCCACGTTACGTGATACGGCAAGGTGAAAAGAGCATACACAGCTGCTATTACGACCAACATTTTAATCACCTATAGAAAAAAAAATAGTGTTTAGTGTAATAGTTTTTCACGAGGTGATTTTTTTTATGGAAAATCTGTAGAATATTAGCTCTCAGTCCTAAATGTTCTGCGATTCGGGCACCGTGCTCTATCGGTTTGAGTGACTATTAATAGTAACTCTCTTGATCCAGATGTCGGCTCATTAAAGCCTACTCTTTATTTCATGACGAGCTTTGCTCACCAAAAGAATTTATGCAAATGAGGCTGAGGCG